GTGTGCTTGGAGTAAGGTTGTTGATCTTATAAACTTGCCAGATACGGCGTGTGTTGCTTAATGGTGGCATCAAGCATTTGTGAAAAGCATACCCTTGCAGTGTCGACTAGGGTCGGAATGTGTCATGAGCCGCTGCCACATGTGAAACAACTTATGTTGTTCAACAACTCCACTGAACGTTACGTTTCGTACCCAAACGATCGTTATGTTATCCTTATGTTCTGGCGACGAACATGGAATTCGAATAAGAACTTTAATTGTTTAGTATATATGTAAATCACGCCTAGCGACTTCGAAAATTACAGCAAAACATGCTCCAGAATAAATCAGTGTGAAAGTAGCGAATTCAAGAGGTAGACGACGTGCATTACGAAATTGAACAAGTATGACTAGCGAACGACCTGGATTACAGCTGCATTTCGCGGGCAACGGTTCGGCGAGATTTGTTTCTGCTACAACAGGTCATACGTGCCTTGCGAGGAGTCATGTTCCGTTCTTCTACCGTTGGTCGGCGTCGAAGGATGACGCAACTCGATTTTCACAGGCCGCCGTAGATTATAAATGGCAAATCTCAACTTGACAGTTTCCTACGTGGCAGAATGGGCTAAATCCGCACTGCCTGACCCTGGCATCTGAAGCAATCGCAATCTATAAAAGGTTCAAGAAGACGGACGTTATAAATATCGAATGACTGACTGATACTGAGAGGCAGTGATATTGGCGTGTACGTTACTTGCATTGTAGTTGACGCATAAAGTTTTTAAAGTTGTTCCAGGACCGTTTACATTGTCAGCCTCAAATGGCAGCCAATCTTCAGCACGCCGAAGATGCTGCCAATGGAGCAAGCAGACCCCGAACGGTCTTCTACATTGGCCTACGCAAGATCAAAATTGTTTGAAATCATGCATAGCCTTGAACGACAACTGAGTGTGCGTATAGGGTCATAAAAGTGATGCTGCCCGAGATATCTTTTCAAGTAGAATAATGTTTGAGGAAAGCTATTCCCAGAAGAGCCGCTGCAAAGTCGTGAGCTAGTAAATGTCTGTGCTTCCGGAACCCACTGGGTGAATGGCGACAATCGAAGTGCTATCAACATGGTCTCTTTGCTTGATAATCTAGATCTGAAGGAAAAGATGCAAAGTATTGCTAAGAAAGTGGTCAATTCACGGCTTCACTTAGCAAAAAGATAATCAACGATGCAGTAGCGTGTTACCGCTGTTACAGTCAACTGGAGCTGATTCACATGCCTCCTTTCTCGTAGGAATACTGTTTTA